TGATCTTTTTGAGAATAGTTGCATTCTGTTTGCCAGTATCTTGCTAAGAATTTTTGCACCTATGTTATTTAAAAAGATAGGCCTATATTTCTCTGTTTTTGGTTGGGTCTTTCTCTGGGTTTTGAATCAGGGTAATGCTGGCTCTCAGAAGTGACTTTGGGAGTACTCCTTACCTTTCAATTTAATTAAAGAGTTTCAGGAGTGTTGGTGTTAGTTCTTTCCTAAAGTTCTCATAGAATTTGCCAGTGAATACATTGGTACCTGGACTTTTCTTACTTGGTAGTTTTTTTATTCTTCAATTTCATGGCCTGTTGTTGGATTTGGAAGGGTGTTTAAAATATCTTCTTGGTTCAGTTTTGGTAAGTGATAAGTATCCAGGAATCTATCTTCAGAAACTGTGAACCACAATTTACCTGTCCTTATGTAGGTTATTAATTTCAGATATTTTGTTGCACCAATGAAAAGTGACTAATCCACACTCCTTTCTCCTCAGGATTGCAACTATACACCCAGAGGCTTTAGTGTCAAGGCATGAGGGAGAGTGTCTGGTCTTTGGTTCTTGCATGCCCACAATGCATCTCTTGCTGACCCTTGTTCTCTGCACTTCTGTGCCCTCTGTCACCTGAAAGATGCCAACAGTTCATCTAGCTTCTCACAGGAAGGTTCAATAACTCTGCCTCTTCTTTCACACCTTGATGCCTCTGTGGCTGCTGGCTTCTCACTACCTCTATGCCTGTTCTGATGCCTACCTGTTCCAATGGATCAAAAGAACCTCAAAGGAGCAGTCCTAGATGTCTTATTAGTAACTCCATGACTTCATTTCTACCTGGGCCCTGTGTCCCCTGCTCAGTTTATAAGAAGACAATGCCTGGGCCTTGCTGGTTTGTTTTTTTTTTTTTTTTTTTTTGGTTTTTTTCTCCAGTACCAGGAACCGAACTCACGACCTTGTGCTTGCCAGGCAGGCGCTTTTGCCACTGAGCTAAATCCCCAGCCCTGCCTTGCTGTTTTTTTCTGACAGGACCACTCAGGAAATAAGGTACAGGCTACTTCTGTTTGCCGACATCCTCCCTCACTTCTCTGAATGTTCTACCATCCCATTCACCATATTCAATAGGAATGGACTGTGAACTCATTCTCTGGCTCACTCAGAAGCATTTTAATCTTTGCTTCCTTTAGCTTCTCTCCATCATCCCAAGGGGCCTTTTCTTCTGGGGTAGGGAACTGGATCCTCAATACTTTTCTAAAATTTATACCAGACTCTTGGCCTTTTCAAAGAGTTCTGCATGTATTATCTGAATTCTTACAACACACAGTCTATAATATAGATAGTGGCTGTGTAAAATTAGCCAGCTTAGCCAATGTCACACAACCAAATGAATTTGATCAGAATTTGGAGCTTGTGCTCTTACTACTCAAATTCCACAGTAGTTGTCATCCTCTTTCTGCTTTAGGGTAGGTTCTCTTTTCTCAATTAACTTTTTTTAATTGAATGTGCTTTATTTTAACAATCAAAAATTCTAACAGCCTAAAAATGCACATAAGTTAAAACTTAATTATCATTTAGTGATAGCAAAGATAGGTGATTTACATGGAAAAAAGAACTAAATTAACTTTTAAGGACTTTAGGAACATAAGATTCAATCAAAATTTGCTCCATAAAATGAGTTTGAATAGATGCTAAATATATTACTTAGGTTTAGGAAAACATGTTTGTCATTGCCTTTGAAGACAAAGCTCAGAAATAATGCATCATCTACCTAATCTTATCATTAATCTTTGATCTGGAAGATATTTCAGAAGAAAATAATCTTTGAAAGCAATATTTGAAATATGCAATATTACCTTCGTAAGTGGGTATGATTGTGAGGAATGTGGAGGAAGGAAGAAGAGAAAGGGGAACCCAATCAAAGAAAAAAAACACTGGACATTCCTACAGTCACATATGATATGATCAAATTTTAGTTAAATAGAAAACAAGAAAAGTTAAATTGTGAAACTACAAGTAATAATAACAGGCAAAGTCTGCATTCTCATGCAGTGTATACTTTGTAGTTTTGGTGAAAAAAAGGCTCAGAAGAAGAAAAAATAGAAACTGACTTTACGTTAGTAGTGTTGGATGATAGGCATTTATATGCCCCTCACATTGTGTTGGAGTTGGGACCGCTACTACATTATATGCTGTTTTGTTTATGTAGCCAGTGCAGTTCTAAGAATACTATGGAATGAATGAATGAATGAATGAATGATGTCTTCTCCCCCAGAAAAAAGCTCACTGAAGCTGGTGTAGCCATCTAGTGTAATGGCAATTTTATAAAAATCTTTCAGTAGAAATTAAAAATCAACTAGTAGCCTATAACTATGTTGAGACAGGATATGCTCATACTGCTTGCTACATAATTAGACTGCTAAGTTCAGTTAGCCTTGGCTGACTGCATCCAGCTGATTTTCCAAATAGCTGGCTAAGTCAACCTGAGCATATCCAGACATAATATCTGTGCTTTTCTACTCAAAACATGTAGTTTTTATTTCAGCTTATTTCAAGGACTTTATACTTTATGCCCAGAATAGACTGGCCCAAGGATGCATTCAACTCTACCCACTCTGCTCAAACATCCTCCCTCCTGGAATATTCCTGTCTAATGATAAACAATTCCTTTTAAGTAAACTTGCTTAGTATAAATCTGCCTAACAACATATGACTTGATTTTTGTAATACATGTAACCAATCATGTAAAAACCAGCTGCCTCAGTAAACTGCTATTAAAGTTAAATACATAATATTACCATGATACAGGCATATCCATGTTTATAGCAGCACAGTTCATAATAGCTAAGTCTTAGAAGCAACCTGTATATACATTGTCAGATGAATGGATGAATAGAATGTGCTGTTTACAGAAAATGCAGTACAAGTCTGCCTTAAACAAGTACAAATTTGAGTCATTTGTAAGAAAACGGATGCACCCTGTAATCATAATGTTAACTGAAACAAATCAAACACAAGATTAAATATTACTTGTTTTTCTCTTGTAGGATAAACTCAAAATAAATAAAGAGTAAAGTAAAAGCTAGAGAATAGGATATAGGGAGATAGATCTTTTGCAAGTGGGAAGGGGGTCAAGAGAAGGAGTGAGAAGGGAGGGAGTAGAAGAGGTGAAAAAAGAATCAAGATATGTTATGTATATGTACAACTCTCACAGTGACTATAATCACTATATACTGCAAACATATACTAATAAAATTTTTTAATTAAAAAAATTTAGAGACTGAATATACAAACAGATCACGACTAACTTATATGACAAATTCTCATTCACAACTTCTGGGTTGATCAGTCCAGAAAGGTCAGGATTAGGTCAATGGCTGCCTGCTTTTCTAATATTTGTCCTCACAAAAAATCAAGGGTCAACCAGAGAAAGCCAAACATGGTCCCCAAGCTATCTCATAAGACATTTCACCTCTAGATTGCTTATTTCCTTGCTCTCTCTGCAAACAACCTTTACTCAGACAAAGTGGAGCCCTCCTCCCTTACAGTGTCTGCCACATGCAAGTGGTAGTTGTGGCTCCCTTGCTGAGTAAGCTAACAGGCTCTATTAGTTCTCATTGGGTGCTCACGTCTGTCCACAAGGTAGTAAATTTCCTTCTCTAGAGAATTAGGAGCTTATTCAGAGGATTATTGGTGGTCCAGAGAAAGTAATCAGAGACCTGGGGGTTTCTTTATTTTTCCTGGAGATCAGATGAAGAGAAATTCCTTATGTGTGTTATTCCTATGAAATCATACAGAAAGTTGTAGTTCAGCAAAGGAAATTTGAATTCTGAGGCCACTTTTATCTGCAATAAATGTACCATTATAAATGAGCATTAAAAGCAATGTTGTTGTTTTTTTCAATAGACAAAAGTAGAGGGCAACTTGGTAGTCCCCCCTGCCATCACCACCACCAAAAAAAAGTTAAAATATTATGATAGGGCAAGAGAGACTCCATTCTCTTTTGTAACTCCATTTCATACTTTTTTTATGGTACTGGAAATCGAACTCAGGACCTCACACTTGCCAGGCAGGCACCACGCCACTGAGTTATACCCTTGGCTCTGTAACTCCATTTTAGAAGTCACTTAAGTTCACTTAAACTGTAGATGAACTCACTCTCTCACCCCCTCCCTTGTAGCTGACTGTAAAAACCACTAAGTAAGTACAGCTATAAAATGAGAACAAAACAAACAGAATACATGGAGAAGTAGGTTGAACGTTAAATCAAAATGTCTACCTAGGGTCCACCTGATCAGCACATAACCAGCAACATCTAGGAAATGTAAACCTTGTGATAATTATGTGACATTCTGATAAGATTCTCAAATATGAGGTAATGTGGTTGTATACTTACTATGGAAACCTAAAATGTACTTAAGCTGGATACAAAGTCCAATCTACTGGGTCACCTTCCCAGGCTTGTCAGGTGTATCCATTGTGTGCTCAAATAAAGCCTTTTGTTCCTATAACTAGGTCTCTTGTGAGTGCTTATCTCGTTGAATATTAATTCTTGCCAGAACAATTAAAGCTGAGAGGGATTTGTCTATTGCCCAAGTCCACATTTTTTTCCCACAGAAGTCAAAACTAAAATGCAAGATAGAGGCTGGGTACAGCTCAGTGATAGGCATTTGCCTAGCATAAAGAAGGCTCTGGCATTGAACCCAAACAGCACCAAAATAACATAAACAAAGAAGAAAAAGATGTCAGTGATATAGTGTCTACTTAGTATTAGCTGCTCCAGGGATAACTTGTGTATATTTAACCGTGAATTCCAAAGCAAGAAGAGCTCAACTGAGCATACAGTCTGAGAAAAAACTATTTGTGAAGTTTCAAAACAAATCCCCAACTTTTTAAAAATTATTGAACACCTGCCCAAACTCTGAGCTTCAAGTTTTGCTCGCATTCTAATCTTGAAATTTCACCACCCCGACTGAATAAAGCAGAAATTTAAAAAGTCAACATCTTCCCATACCTCTCTGCCACCCGCTCCCTGGGGAATGCTGCTTGAGCTTTCTTTAATGATAAGGGAGATGGCCCAAACGGTCCCACTCTGGGCATCTCCATTCTCAGAGAGGCAGCATTCCAAACTGGAGCTCATAAAACTGACAGCTGCTGGCTGTTTCCGAGTTTGACAGCATCCTAACATCCTGGGGGCACAGGACTCGGTTCTCTTCAAGGTTAAAGTAAGAAGGTAACGCGGGAACGACTATCTTTGTCTTGCTTTGTAACTTTCAGCCTGTTTCCTGCCACAAGCAATAAGGAAAGCACCCCTTTTTGTTCTTTGCTCAGCCTTGGATGGTGAGGTCCCTTAGCCTGTGGGGTCCTTAACTAACAAAGACCTGTTTCTTTCTTGGTCTCTCCAGTTCCTTGCACTTCCCACAAGTAACAATAAATGCTGACTTAAGCCATCCAGTTTGTGCAGCCCAAACTAAGGCCAAATAGTATTAGATAGGAAAATAAATCTTAAACCCACACCTAGTTCGCGAAAATTACATTCTTTTTGATTATTTGCTTGGTTGCTTTTGTTTGGCCTCTTTTATTCTGCGGTAAGGGGCCGGAGCTCTGCGCTGTCCGGCTCCTTTAGCAGCCCTACAAAGGGTGCCTATCCCTGGGGCCTAGAAATTTTTATACCACGTGACCCTGCCTCACCTGCCCCACCCCCCCTCCCGGGCCAGGCTGCCACTGTGTCAAAGGGAGACGGGCTTCTCCCTCCTCCTGATTGGTACATACGCTCGCCGTGGTTCCGGAGTGGGTGTGGCCAGAGGTTTGACTGGGTCCGCAGTGGCGGGTTCAGAGCCTGCGGTGTCCGCACCTGCTTGTCCCTGACCAGCCCAGCCCTGGGAGCCCGCGGCGCCGCGGCGCGGTGAGCAACAGGCCTGCCTGGCCGCACTCCCTTCCCAGCCCTCGGTCACCCAGACCCGGCGTCTTCAGTCCCTGGGGCTGCGAGCGCGGAGTCAGCGCCGTCCGCCACCGCTGCGGGCTGGTGGGCTCGCGGGACAGGCGTCCAGGGCTGGGCTCGGGCCCCTCTGTGACCCCTGGGAGCAGCCTGACCCTCAGAAGAGCAGAGAGACCTGAGACAGAGCGTGGGCGAGCCCCCCCTGGCCCCGCGAGACTGGGAACCTTTGTCTTATCTGCCTTAGGGCAAATCCTGAAAGAAGCCTTCAGTTACTGGGGAAAGATGCGGGTTGGTTGTGGTGTTATGGGAAGTAGGAGAGACCGGAGAGACCAAGGAAGAAACACGTCTTTATTAGTTAAGGCCCTTAGGGGTTCAGCGACCTCACGGTCCACGGCTGAGCAAAGAACAAAGAGAGGGGTGCTTTCCTTATTGCTTGTGGCAGGAAACAGGCTGAAAGTTACAAAGCAAGACAAAGACAGTCATTCCCGCGTTACCTTCTTACTTTAACCTTGAAGAGAGCCAAGTCCTGTGCCCCCAGGATGTTAGGATGCTGTCAAACTCGGAAACAGCCAGCAGCTGTCAGTTTTATGAGCTCCAGTTTGGAATGCTGCCTCTCTGAGAATGGAGATGCCCAGAGCGGGACAGTTTGGGCCATCTCCCTTATCATTAAAGAAAGCTCAAGCAGCATTCTCCAGGGAGCGGGTGGCAGAGAGGTTTGGGAAGATTTCTGGTCAGAGGCTTGACTTTTTAAATCTCTGCTTGAGTAGAACTGTGTTTGCTTTCAGGTTGTGTTGGCTGCATTCAACTCAGGCTGCATAGCTAAGGGTTCGTCAAAGTGGGAACACCGAGAGTAATAACTGCAAAGATTTGAGCATTTATGGTATGCTGAGCAGCGTAGCAAATTTGAGCACCCAAATTATCTTTAATTTGGTGAACAGCCTCCGGAAGTAGCACTGTTGTGCTCACTTGCAGTTAGATTGATGAACATAGACTTTAAATTATTCATCCAGGATCAGTGAGGGACTGAGCAGAGATTCAGTCCCAGGCACGCAGACCCCAGGGCACTATGCTCTCCCTTTGGGTTGTGCTACTTTCTGCTGCCTCCTAAAGCTTGTGAGTTATTTTTTGTCACCTGGTATCTGTCCGTGACCCCCTCACCTACACACCTCCTTTCTTTCCTGTAATGATATTTGAGACCCTGTCTGCTTTAGTTCTAACTTAAAGCCGTATTTACTTTGCAGTTGAGAGTAATATGGCATGATATTGTAGTGTAGTGCCAGCAAATTAGAGGTTCTTGAATTTGGGCAGAGAATTTAAGATTTTGCAACATTTTACTAGCTAAATTTTTTCTCAATTGAGTTAGCTCTGGCAAACCTGCCATGTGAACCATTCTTTCAACAATAGTTGATGGGATCTAGAGTTGATTCTTCCCCATTGAACAAACTGTATCTTTGGGTCCAAGAAAACAAGCTTTGTCTCTTCCTTGAGACTTAAAAATTGCTAATTAACCTCATGACTTCCATCCATGGATTAATAAAGTCTCCTGCTAGTGTGCCTTCTTTCTTCAAACTTGGATTTGCTCAGACTTGAGTCTAAGAACTGGCAAGTAAGTTATGAATACTTCTGACCATACTAACCTAAGCTTGGTGCTCTCAACCCTGTTGTATTCCAGTTGATCTACTATGTTGTTTATTTCATTTTACTTTACTCCCTAGCCTGACATACTAGTGAGCAGTAAGTGTTGTAGTTTTACATGTTTGGGTTTAAAAGAGTAGTGATGAACACATTTCATGGAAAGTTTTGTGCATCTACTGTGTGTGTCGGGCATTGCTAGATACTAACTCAAGGAGAGAGGACTGGTTCCTGTCCTGAAAGAATTTTAAAATAGCCAGTGATGATGGCCAGGCACTTTCTTGTGGAGTAACTTAGTGATAGAACTTGAGGCTTCCGGAAAGAGGAGTTAATCCATTTAGCCTGGATAATGTGAAAGCTTTGTTATTTTTATCAACAATGGTGTGCCCCTGACAGAGTATAGACCAGTGGTAGCAAACGTATGGCATACATGTCACAGCCGGTTATTTGTGATCATTAAAATCTCTAAAATGTTCGCCATCCCTGGTATAGAAGATAATAGTACAATTTCTAATGATCATGTCTTTAGAAGAATAAGCGTCAACAAACTTGTCTTCTTACAGCAGTGCCATTTTTGTTCTCTCAAGTGGGAATCCATGTTGCTGTCATTACATCGTGCTGCAGTGTCAAGCAGAAGTGCATTTGGCAGGCTGGAGATTTTTCTTCAGCTGACAAAAAAGGTTAATGTGACACCTACCACTCATAATACCAGCGCCATTTTCATTCAGAGCCTGTGCCCCCCCTATCTTCCACCACCTTTGGATCCCCTTCTTTAAAGAAGGATTTGAGTTTTACATTTGTGAAATAACTGATTGAGTAAACAAACAGAAAGGCAGAATGTAGGAAAGGCACTATGTCCGCGGTTTTATTAGTATATTCCTCAGCTAATTGCTATCAACCACTTAGGGTGATTCTTCCTTTTTTTTAAATTGGTGCCAACTGTGTACCTCATATTCAAAGCCCTTAAACCCAACACTCTAGGAAGCACTACAATCAAAAGGCAGGGCCTTCAAGTGTGGTTTTAAACCTAGCTGATTGTTGGTTTTGTTTTTTTGGTGGGTTTTTTTGAGTTTGATTGGTTTGTTTTTTTGAGACAGGGTCTTGCTATATAGTTCAGGCTGGCCTTGAACTCACTATATAGCACTATTAAAAATAGGGCTGGGAATGTAGCTTAATGGAGCAGTCCTGGTTTCAATCCCCAGTACAGCTATATACCTACATACATACATAAATTGCATTTCTGTGATTAGTATTTAAGAATATATTACAGTTTTTTGCATTACACTGGGGATTGAATCCCAGTACCTTTGCACTGAGCTGTGGCCCTGATTTTATTTTTATTTTGAGATAGAGTCTTCCTAATTGCCCAGGCTGGGCTCATATTTGCCATCTTCTTCTTGACTCACCCTCGAAGAGTGCTAGGGTTATGGGTGTAGGCCAGCACTCTCAGCTGTTATTTCTGTTCTTTGGTGAATTGGCCTTTGTTCTCTAATGCCCAAGTGACTGTGCCCCATTTACAAACTGTTTATTGTATGTTGATTTTATTTATTGGTATTTTGTGATAGGGTCTCACCAGGTAGCCCAGGCTGGTCTTGAACTCTCTGTGTAGCACATGCAGGCCTTGGACTCCTGATCCTTCTGCCTCACCTCCCAAGTGCTGGGATTACAAGTATGTGTCACTACACATGGTTATAAACCTCTTTATGATGAGAATTTTGACCACTTTTTGACAGAGACCCCTTTTTTTTTTTTTTTTGGTTTTTCTCCGGTACCGGGAACCGAACTCACGACCTTGCGCTTGCCAGGCAGGCGCTTTTGCCGCTGAGCTAAATCCCCAGCCCCGACAGAGACCCCTTTGAGGCAGCGCTGAGCAGGCTTTAGAATTAATTAATTGGCTTTCCATGTTAATTTATGAGTCTGTCCCAGGCCTACATGACTTACCTGATGAGCTAGAACCTGGCATGCAGAATCAGAACTCTCCATGCCAGCGGTCATAGTAGAGGCCTGAATTGGCCTATGACAGTGTGGCATCTCTGAAGGCAAGGTGACATCACAGCCGACAACTCTGACTCAGAATTCCAGGGAAATAACTCCCAACCTAAGAGATAAAACAGATCTCTCATTAAAGAAAGATTTACTGCTTGGAATGTCTTTGTCCTGCTTTCATAAGGCCTTGCCCACTTTTATGCCTTTTTGTCTCAGTTATTCCCTACACATCCCTGCTCGCCGCCCCCACCCCCACCCCTATATGTTGTGTACTCAGTAAATAGTGGCCAGTTTGGAGGATTCACAGCTTTGGTGAACAATACCTTTGGCCTTCCCAGACCCCAGTCTGGGAATATTGTATTTCCATGTGTCTTTTATTTCATCCTTTGCTGTACACTTGCCCAGGTGATCAGTGATGGGTTTTCCACTTTGATAAAAAATTTGCCAAGTCATCACTGGAAGCCCTGTGCTAGGCCCTACCCCTCTTCTTCTGAGTCAAATTACAACTTCCTACTTCCCTTTCTGTAATATTCTGTTTCTTTTTTCCCACCTCCCACCCAATCCTGGTCTGCCATGTCAGGTGGTCCACCCCCTAAACCCTGCCTCCAACCTGACCCTATTTAGCCTTTGTTCCCTGGGCCAGGCCTATAGAAGCTCCACGACCTTTCTTCCTGCTGTGGTCTTCTCCACACCCACAATAAAGGCATTTTAAAATTTTGTTCTGTTTTTACTCGCACCAAAAAAACTAATAATCAGGAGCCTGATCAGCCCCAGATAACTGGAGCCCTGAGCAGGGACAGATTTTAAAATGTGAATGAGTAAGTGATGGGTTTCTGCCTAAATAAAAATTCTGCTAAGTCAACATGACAGCTAATCAGTATGGCATGGACCGCTTGGAGGTCATGTGCCAAGTCCCTCCCTGAACAAATGAAAACTTCCTACATCCTTTTTACAACATCCTGTTTCCTTTTTCCCACCTCCTGTCCAATCACAATCTACCACATCATGCAGACTGCCCTATTACCCCACCTCCAGCCTGGCCCTGTGTAGCCTTTGTTCCCCTGGCCAGGCCCTCAGAAGCTCCACATCTCTCTTCTCTTCTGTGCTCTTCTCCATGCATGCAATGAAGGCATTTTTACTTTGTTCTGTTTTTACGTGCACCAGAAAAACCTAAAATGTTGGTACTGTGACTTGGATAATGCAGGCTGTGAGGTCCCACAAAGGGGGAATTTTCCTCCCTTTGCTTTGGGCCTCCCTGCCAAGGAGTCATTTTCCTTTTCTCCTTTGGCCTGACATTTGCTGTTGCAAACTTCCATCCACCACTGGTGAGATCCAGTTCTCACAGGTGACCTTCCTTCCATTCCAAGAGTTCCTGTCTCATTTTCTTTCATTTTATGAAAATTGTAGGCCCACGCCAGAACTCTCTTCTTTTTATGTCCTTCAGGACACCCTTCTGCCTTCTCAGTGATGATTGGGAAGACAGATATGGTCATTTTCTCCTTTATTGCACCCCGGGGAGGGTGACGGCTCTCCCAGGGGTTTCAAGATCTCGCTGTTAAGCCTCCAGCTCACCTTTAATTCACCCACAAAATGGGAAATGCTAATTTCCATCCTCCAAAAGACACTCTGCTTGGCTGTCTCTTGGCCAGTATAAATGCCTTGGGGCTCAGAGACAGCATCAAACCAAAATGGTTAGTCTTCTACTGCCAAATGGCCTGACCCCAATATAAATTTGACAATGGGAGCCAATGGCCTGGGGAAGGTACTTTTGACATTAATATCCTCAAGTCTAAATAATTTTTGCTACCACAACAACAAATGGAAGGAAATTCATTATGTACAGGGCTTTATTGCTCTCAGGGCATGCCCCTCTCTCCTACAGGCATGTGGGGCAGCCCAAATTTGCCACACTACACACTGCCAGACCCCCTCTCAAAACCCCCTCTGCTCCTCTTGATAATGTTCCTCCAGCTTTTGCTTCTCCTCCCCCTTACCCTCCGCCCTCCTAGCCTAATACTCAACAGTCACCCAATACCCAACCACTTTCTTCTCAATCCTCTCCGTCTAAAGACTGTGAGTGGAGATAGTCTCCAGCCCAGCGTTTTCCAATTTCCCCAACCCAGTGTTTGACTAGCTCCTACTTTCTCTTTCCCATCAGCTGCCTTAGAAACTTCCTCCCCTTCTGTCCCACCTCACCATTTTCTCCCCCAGCCATACACACCTGGTCCGACACCTCTCACCACCAGCCATCTTTTAACCAGTCTCCATCTTCTCAACTTACATGCTGTTTACTGGTGATCCACTGTTTACTGTCTTGTCCTGACTCCTCACACCCTCCTCCATCTTGTTCAAGCCACTCCCATCCCCCCACCATCTTGTAACCCTTTGCCATCTTATACTTGCTCATCACCCCCTCCACAACTTTCTCCACAACCTTCTAGTCTGTCTCAGCCTCAACTCATGTGTCCCCTTTGGAAACAGGCAAGTCATGAAGGCCTAGTTCACATTCACATCCCTTTCACCTTTTCTGATTTTTCTCAAATCTCTCATAAACTAAGTTCCTTTTCTGCTGACCCTCATACCTACATTAAAGAGTTGGAGTTTGTTACTAGCTCCTACAAATTTATGTCATAAAGATCTTTATACTATTCTCAATTTCCCTCTTTCCCACCAACAGAAAGAGGAACTATGGAAAGCAACCCAAAAGGAGGCTGACAATAGACACCAGACTAATCCAGACCATCCTGTTGGAGCTGCTGCAGTGCATTAACAGCTCTTCATTGGAATTATAGAGGGTCAAGTGACTCACAACCTATCAATACTATGATTGTATAATTGAGGGTCTTCATAAAATTTCTCATAAGCCTGTTAATTTCAACAAGCTCAATGAACAAACACAGAGAGCTGATGAAAACTCTGCTGAGTTTCTTATTCACCTTACTGAAACCTTAAGTAAATGTACCATTGTAAATGCACAATCTACAGAGGGAATAGTACTTGTTAACTCATTTTATCTCCATCAGCCCCAGATATTCAGACTAAATTTTAATAGTCTGAGCTTAACCCTCAGTCACCACAGGGAAAGTTCCTATCCCTGGACTTTCATGTGTTCAGTAATAGAGAACATCAACAAAAATTAGACAACCAAGCTAGAAAAATGTCAGTTGCTAAAGTGCAGGCCAAATATCAACATGAGCTTCTGGCAGCAGCACTCAGGATTAGTA